TCCCAAGGATTAGAAGGGAAAGTCACTAGTTGTTGAAGAATTAATCGTAATTAGCTAGCTGAGAAACTTGGTACCATAAATAACAACATATGAGCCACCGGTCGGCACTTGTTCAAAGTCGTCTTCTAATGCGGCCACGACATGCAGCCAACAGAATTGATGAATGGACACTGGTTTTGTGACTCTGCATTCATGTGTGTAAGAAAACTGCACATGCATCATGGCATTGCTCTAGATTCGCCACAGCTGCAGAGATCGATTCTGAGCGGTAGTTTTGATTTTTGAGTTTGTAGACAGTGGCCGCTTTCATAAGGTTCAAATGGCCAAAGTAGCTTACAATCTTCCCACTTTGCTGGTTACAGAGCTTGAGTACACGTCTACGTTTTTATCGCTTTTCTGCTGCATATTCCGAAGTCTTCCAAGCTCATCATGGGAAAGAGGAAGATCGTAACCCTTGCCGATAAGCAAGAAATCATCAAGGGAATTGATGGTGGAGCCTCGCAAGCAGCTACCGCTCAAGAATACGGGACTGGCAGCTCAACGGCAGTGAAATCTACAAGTTGCAGTGGGACAAGATCAAGGAATTTCTGGGAACCCATATTTATACCCCAGTTGGCATGATGCGGAAAGCAAACAGTGAGCAGTTGAGAATGCTGCTTTTCGCATGGTTTAAGGCTTAGCGCAGTAAAGGAGCCATGGTTTCAGGGCCCATCCTTGCTGACAAAAGCTGTCTATCTTGACAGACACATCAACGTTGAAGACAGCACACTTGTAGTTTCAACTGGCTGGCTGAAGAGATTTAAAGAAAGGCACAGGATACACGAACTTACTATGTCAGAAGAGTGCTTGTCGGCCCCAAGTGAGGATTCCATGTCCAAGTCTGTACCATCGCTACCTACATGAATGATAACTGTTGCCAGAGCAGCGCTGTGGAGACTGCTACCCAACAAAACTCTCGCCCATAGTGGTGAGAACACTGCACCGGGCCACAAGCAGGCAAAGGACCAGGTGACACTTCTCTGCTACGCCAATGAAACTGGTGACCACAAGCTGAAAATTACAATGGTGGGCAAGGCTAGAAACCCATGATGTTTTCATCACATCAATCACAAGATCTTGCCAAGCAAATGCATTGGTGGATTTAGAACTCTTCAAGGACTGGTTCTTCCAAGAGTATGTCTCACAAGTAAAATAATTCCTGACAAAGAAGAACCTGCCTCATAAAGGCAGTTCTACTGCTTTTAACAAGTGCTCTGGATACATGCCCAAGAACCCCTTCGTGAGCCGCTGTGGGGGAATTCGATGCAAGTTCCTTTCTGCAAACACTACATTGAAGATGCAACCGTTGGACTGTGGTGTGATGCAGACCATGAAGAAGTCTATCAGAAACGTCTTCTCTGCCGGGTACTAGATGACAATGTGGACACGGACTTGACTTCAGTTTTGAGGTCCATCACTCTCTAGGACGTACAGTAAATTGCCATTGAAAGTTAACACCAAAATGGGAAAATTTTTCACATTTTTTCTCTTCCCAGGGAATTCCTTTTCATTTCACAAATCTTTTCAGTCTCCTGACAGAGCATACTGTCCGAAACGTTGAGTTTCTCACGGTTCTTTTCAGAACCATACAGACTCACAAAAGAGATCGTATCCTTGCATGGTGCTACCGCAAGCTTTCCACCTTAAAAAGTAACATGTCATCAGAAACCCAAGTGAAAACAGACCCGATATGTCACACCGAACACAATCGGCGAAAAGACGAGATTTGCTACATGAAGATACATATGCAATTTAAGCAGTTGATTTTATTTGTTGATCGAAAGAAACCTTTCGGTAACAAAATACTACATGTAGTATTTCATTTTTATTTTTTTGTGGGCCAAACTACACCACAAGAATAAATAAAAAGCGGGCAAATAACCCATGTCGCCACAGCAGAGCAAGTTAAGTTTGTTGTAATACACACATTTCATGTGCTTCGTGACTTCAGGACTTGGGGACTCACTCAACATCCAGACAACTTTTTAAACATTTATTTTCCGACTTTGACAAGTGTTTATCTTTGGTAATCCAAGAAAACAACTGCACCACGCAAGCGCGGCTCGCCATGGTGAGCACATGCTCGCAGTTGCGCTGCATGGACCAGACGGCTTGGCTGAGGAAATCGCTACTAGGCTACAACAGCACACTCCACGTGGTGAGTTGGCCCCTGCGTAATGGACTCTTCACTGCATAATAGTCATGCACGTGTGGCAAGTGTTGAGCATTTTCGCTGCACAATGCTTCTCGTTTTCAGAAGTTTCTGCATGATTTTCAGAACCTTTCGCACTGCTTTCGCAAAATTTTCACGTTGTTTTAGCACACATTTTTTTCTCAATGTTTTTGCAAATGTTTCACGCCGTGTTCACAAAAGATTCGCATTGTTTTCGCACAATTTTCACTCTGTTTTTGCACGTCGTTTGTCCCTTTTGCATCCGATTTGCTGCAAATTTGCTGCGAATTCGCAGGGGGGAAAGTTGTGGGCAGAATGCGAATTTCTTTCATTTTTTCCCATTCCTTTTCACAGCGTTAACTTTCAAATGCATCATACTGTATGCTACATGATCGCAAAAGCATGGAAAGCAGTCAAGCCAAAATCTATTCAAGATGCCTGGAAGAAGACCCTCGGCACTCCAGTTCAAGGAAGTGAACCGGCAGAAGATGATGATGATGTGCCCCTCACACAGCTGGTTCAGCAACTTGGATACCAGCGGAACTCGGAAGGGATGGGTGAATCAGCAGTTATTGCTGCATGGGAAGCCCTCGATGATGATTTGCCAACGGATGCTGAGATGGAATGGAGTGACGATGAGATTGCGCAGGCTGTGACAGGAGGGCCTGTTCCAAAGGCAAATCCGATTGCTGAAGATGACAGCGATGAAGAATTGGAGGGCACCCCTCCCACTTGCAACCGAGGCACTGGCAGGTTTGGGTCATGTTCTGCACTTCTTGGAATCTCAGGAAAACATTGACCCCATAACAACCATCAACGCGCAGCACATCAAGAATGTCATCGGACGAAAGGGAGATGAGGCGATGAAGCAGAAAAAGCTGACAGACTTTTTCAAGATGTAACCAGTCTCTGTCAAGTTGAACTTCAAACCAAACGGTTCTCTTCAGAACCAATACATGTTCAAAAAAGATATAGATCCCGTGCAACTGCTCTGAGCCCCAATCTCCTCCCTCAAAAAAGATAGAAAATAAATAAAACACAAGTATTCCCTTCCTCCTCTTCATCATGTTGTTATTTATTATACATGTACATGTTTTTATTTTCATTCATTCATTATAAAAACAACATTAACCCCTTCGCTAGGGAGGACTTCTACTACCACACCATTGTGTGAGGATTAGTGCATACTACACACACATTCTATTCACCATGCAGCTGCTGGTTCAATGGGGCCTGCTGCTGGACAAAGCCCTCCATTCAGGGCATATCACAGCCCAGCAGTCGCGGTCAAAATAATCCCGCCGTGAAGGGGTCAGGCCGAACAAAGATCACTCACAACTTTAAGGATAAATTTGAAACTAATTTTGGTACTTGACAAAAAATGTCAACAGATACAGTATAAAATTTTAAAAACCTTGAACGTGAGTGCAACAGCAAAACATCAGGAAAACAGCAAGTCATAGTATCACAAGAGGGTGCACTTCAATTAGACAAGAGAGGGCATTATTTCACAGGACAATGAAACGTTCAGCAGTTAATTTTGCTTTACTGAACGTCCACTGTACCGAACATGTAGTGTGGACCCAGTCATGTTCGTTAAAGCAGCATGGCACTGTACATCCATCATGGTTGTGTATAGCAATTAATGAAGCCGCCATGTTTGCGAAATCAATGCACTTTGTCTTCCTTAAATTAATCACTTTTAAGGAATGTCTGCACATCTATTTCTTTATGTTCTAACTCTAAATTCATGCAAGATCAAACAAGTAATTATAGGTTACCTAAATGTCAGTAACTAGTAAAATTGCATACCTGAGTTGGTGGATTGTAAGGCACATCCATGCAGTGGCAGAAAGTATCAGGAACAGCCCGCTGCCGTGTGGTCGCGCCCCACTTACTCACCAATTGAAGGCTACCAAGCAAAGGTAGGGCTACGCGTATATGACCCAATTCAATCCTGTCCACTTTGAATTGAATAAATGTGATTACATGATGGACAGATGAACTACACCACCTACAAACACGTTCTGGAGTAGAGTCTACTGTCATCAGGCCAGTACCTGTTTCCCATCTCTGATGATTTGGTTTTCAGCAGGACAACGTCCCTTGCCACACAGCAAAATCAGTTAAGACAACAGATGACAGACCATAACATCCAGATCATGACCTGGCCTGCTCAGTTACTGGACTTAAATCCTATTGAAAAATTGTGGAATGTATAAAACAAAAAATGCAAGACCACAAGCCATCCAACAGAGCAGAGCTGTTTGAAGATTTGCGTCAGGAGTGGGCAGCAATGACCACCACCAAAAGAATGTTATGAGGCCAGCGGAGAGCATGCCAAGGCCCATCATTGCTGTCATCAAGAGCAAAGACCATACCACCAAATACTGATATTTGACAGAGACTATTACATGTCCCAACACTGTTAATTTTGGTATTCAGAATTAACAGCAATTAGTTTTTGGTTCTTCGATTAAAGAATTAAAGTGAGATTTTTTGTTCTAAGTCGGAAAAATGCTTGATATATTAGGAAGTTAAAATATGAATTGACGTTACTTTACCTTTTTATCATTGCATTCATAGTAAATGATGGGAATATGAGGAACTGAGCTCATATCAGAGTCACTGATATGCTCTGAGTGGCATCAAAGGACAAAAATGATAGTGGTCTTAGAATATTTTACAGAACTCTACATCCATTTGACCAGAGGACACTTTTGCTTAATGATTTAGAAGGAAAAGCCAAAGTACATGTATTTACTAAGGTCTCCTTTGTTCTTAATAGTTCTGCAGCTATAAACAGAGCTTCATCACATGGTGCTACTGGTGGATCTGCAGAGCCTCAAAAGGCCACTTCTGACAAGAATCTGGACAGGTTTGTGTGTAGAAAGCTTTTCAGTACATGTAGATGTGGAAACATCATGTATAAATTTGCACTTCGTATTTTGAGATGACTGTTCTACTTGAAGCTTTTTTATTTACATTTGCACACATACGTATATGAAAATACATTCCTGGAAAAAGTATGCTCATGTAAACAGCTTCCCCTAAGTCTGTATAAATGCTTGTTTAGCTTGAAAATTGTTTAGTTCTTTAACAGGGCAAATGGCTCCTGCAAATTGTAATATTTTTTATTGGTTCATGTATATACATGTACATGCAGTGTATGGTACTAAATTCTAACCCTCGTTAACCCCATGTACAACCAAAAGTATCATGGGCAAAGACAGTGCCTTCAAGCATGGTATTTACATGTTTATCATAAACAAGCCTTTAAAGCTTTACAAACAGCAAAACGTATAAGAAATTGTGGAGCCAGCACCCAGTACTGGATTGAAATGATGAACAACTACTATACACGATACAAGTAATGACCATAGTGCCATTTGATATGAATGTATGATTAGTTTGTCTGAAAGTCTGCCCCACTGTCAAATTTTCAGAGTACAACATACACAAATGCTTGCCTATGGTAATGATGGCCAATCTCAAGGAAGCTGTGTAGTTATGTGGTACTATAGCATCTTTTGATTAGACCCTATATTGCAGTTCATCTGAGTTTAACCACTCCCTGCTGGGCAACCCATTTTAGGGTACGTAGGCTTCATATGCAGAGCCGGGGAGCCTGGAACTGGGACAAAAGAGTTGGGCCTTATAACAAAAGACCGTGCTCAGCACAAAAGACTCAGTTGCTGGGCATTACTGACATCTTTTTGCTCTCAATAGTGGAGATAATCCAGCTATGTTTTGAAACAGTATACCGCGGTTTGGGGCATATAGAGCGAGCGGATTACCACTGGGGACAAAAGCTCTCCACCACCGCAGTGATGAGGTCAGCAGTGCACTGTGCCGGTTTCAGGAACAAAAGAATCTTACGTAACACTGCACAATCTGGGCTCTTTTTCCAAGGCTGCAGGCCTGACTGAGATATTCAGGAGTCAATGAATTTTACCTGTTAGCTTTAGAGTAGTGCCCAAAGAGTCCTTCATTTTGGTATAAACGGCCATTACATGAAATGATGAATTTTTGAAGAATTTTGAAAACGGAAAATCTTGAAAAATCCACCGGGCAGCAAGTGCTTAAGTTTCAACATTTGTGATGTGCTTCAAACATAGCATTTTGGATTTCCAAAATCACAAAAGCTATCCTGAGATATGGGCTTGAATTTGAATTTACATGCATATTGCTGCAAACCTATCTGAAAGAAATAGAAAACTATGGTATCGGAAATGTCTATACTGGAAAATGGGGTTTGAGAGAAAATTGGTTGTTTCAAACTGAGGTCTTTGCTTCAGCGATACTATGTTCCATGGCTGATGACAACAAAACTGAATATTCCAAATTAATAAGGGAACAGCCATTCAGCTTTTCAGCTATATAATACTCAGTACTCCTTATATCCTCTTGTGATTGGGTTATGTAATCCCAATTAAGTACTTGTATTGCCAGCATTTAAAGAGGAATTCAAAAGGCCTTCAAAACACATTTTGACACATAGGGTTCTTGAGATGGATAAGCATAGATAGATAATTGACAAAAAGCAAGCACCGTGGGAATGAAGCATTTTCTTTCCAAAGCAAATTGGGCCAAAATCTGAAACACACGAGGTCAAATATTGTGTGTGTTGGGCTGATGACAACATCCTGTGACACATTGTACAGCATGCATGTATGCCTTACAAAGTGTTTTGATGTGACATGGATGATTTACATGTATATTTTGGACATAAAACTTGTATTGTGTCTGGAGGTTTTTTATTATTATTGTTGTCAGAATAATTTTGTGTACATTTGTTTCGAAAAAAAGAAATACAAGTCATTGGAAGTTGTACGGTATGCAACATTGGTTGAGAAAATATAGCACAGATGGCATTCATGTGCAGTTTGTCGGTCAAACTCCAAGTATTACACATTTACTCTTGTCTGGCAACAGACTATTCATACACTGCAGAAATTAAGTGTTAGATGCAGCATTATCAAGGTAACTGTTTTGCATCAGCTATTAATCAGCCTTAATTATAGTCATTTTTCCGGTTCCAGATTGCAAATAGTTTTCAGTCTGATTGCAGCTCAAATGTATGTAGTCCTCAGGTACTAGTAAAAGGTGGTCAGTAGTCAACCTTGTAAGCAGGAGATACAACAAAAGTATTTTTGAAATTTTAACCTTTAAATTGGACTTTCAGGATCGACGTAAGTGACAATGACACTTCTAGTGGTTTAATCAGTTCCGGATCACTTTAAAAACTTCTTCAGGCACCTAAAATATCCATGTTATAATCCACAAAAATCTCTATTTCAACCATACTGTGACAAGCTGATGTCTACTGAAGACTTGTTTTAGATTTTATGAAAATTTATTTGTATTTCACAATTCCAGAGAATTTAAAAACGAAACATTTGACTCGACTTTTTTGGCTGCACATGTCATTACTGTAACACACAAAGGTACATTTAGCAGCAGAAGGAGCTGCTACCAAGTTCCCTGTATCATTGAGGAGCTCCTCATTGTCTGCTTCTGTCAATATACTGAACATGTAAAGGGCAACAAATAAATGTCAAGTCTGTGTGAAAAGCAGCTCCATTGTAGTTTGGAACCACCAAAGATTTTGAAGCAATGCAGCACTGTGTGGCTGTCACTCAGTATGCAATGTATTTGAAGTGAATATTTGTCCAGTATTAGCCACCGACAGTATTTTTGGGAATAATGCAAGATGATGACATCGAATGCTATACAAAATGTGAGTGACGTCTACCAGAAATGGATGGCTGACAGTGACAAGGCAAAGGATCTTCAGGTTTATATTACCAAGAAAATGAAAGACAAGGCAAATGAAAGCAGTCCACGTCAATCGAGTACTGCAGCTCATACATTAACGGCTACAACTTAAGCTAGTAATGACTTGACAATGCCCAGTGTCCAGCGTTAGGACAAAACTGTTCCAGAGAAACCTTCTCCAAGTGGCAGCTTTGCTAATATGAAATCACATCAAAAGGCAGTGGTACCCCTACTCTTAAACCATATGCTGCCGGGAGCCCGGTTTCGGGCACATGGGCTTTATACACAAAACTGGACAAAAGAGCTAGGCCTTATAACAAAAGACCATACTCGATCGGAGCAAAAGACCAAGTTGCTTAGAATTGCCAATTTTCAGTTGTCAATAGTGGAGGAAATCTTTCCTTTTTTGAGAGATTATGCCACTGTTACCACCATAAGCCCCTTTTGAACCCTCTGATCATTGCTGCAATTTTTCACTGGTAATCTGTATCCTTAAAACGTTGTGCTCTGCAGTATAGGAAGTTGAATGTTCATGCAATCGTTAGTGCTCTGTATGATCTGAAAACAATATTAAATTTAATGCTTGCATAGTTGCTTGTATTAGGCTGTGTGCCCTTAGTGTTCCTGTGCAGTCATTGCCCTTATCGAACACTTTCTTCTAGAGTTATTTTTAAAATGAATAGCGAAGTTGTTTATAAGATATTGTGTTTTATTTAAATCATTTTTATTACGGCATTTATACAAAAAGGTATTTCATGAGATCTATCGAGCACTCCTTGTGATGAAATAGTGTATTTTGTTCGTTACGAACTTAACTGCCCAATGGTGGTCAACATGTACACGTAGTTGGCCAGTCTCAGCCAAAGACTTTGAAAACTGATGTTTTGGAGAGACAAAATAAAATTACAAACAATGCATGGATAATGGAACAGGGTATCAAAGTAAAAAGTTTATTCATGATGGCAAAGGTACATCTAATGCTGCTAGAGACTTTTCACTCTCTTTTTCCTGGTCACGGCAATAAGTTGTAGTTTATTGCAAACAAAACACACAAAATATTGCCAGGATATTACTGGCTTAGCTGTTTGTCTTACCATCAAGTACTTTGAAGTGCCAGAGTTTTAAGTCCTTCTGTGTCCTTCCTCTCTATGGTTAAACTCTGAAATGGGCAATTTAAATGAAGTAAAATTAAATCACGATTATAAATTCTTTGCTTCAAATACACTTACTGAATCCAAAAAGCTGATTTAAATCAAAACAAGTGGACAGAATTCCTGAAACATAAATCTTGCTAACCCAGATTTTGTGTATTCATTCGTACTTTGTGCCGGGGCATTTTTCAACGTTGATGATGCTGGGCCGGCATGACTATCATTTTTTCCGTTTTCAAAATCCTTCAAAAATTCATCATTCCATTTAACAGTCATTTATAGCCGCATGGAGTAATCTTTAGGCACTACTCTATGTTGACAGGTGACCTTCATTGACACCCGAATATTTCAGCCAGGCCTGCAGCCTTGTAAACAGAGCCCAGATTGTGCAGTGTTATACAACTGTCTTTTGTTCACGAACCTGGCTTAGTGCACTGCTGACCTCTTTTCAATAGGGGCCAGATTAGCGTGCAAGCGCTGCTGTGTGGCTCATCGCTGCGGTGGTGGAGAGCTTTTGTTCCCGGTGGTAATCCGCTCGCTCTCAATGCCCCAAACCCTGCCATACGGTTTCAAAACAAGGCTGGNTCCTTTGTCCAAGTTCGGAGACCCCGGCCACACATATAAACCATACGGCTCCGATTTCGGAGTCCCCGGCTGGTAGTGGTTAATACTAGGAACAGGAAGGCTCACAGAGGGGGGATTTACTGTTCAATATGTGCAAAACCTGCAAACATTTCTAATCAGTAAAAAAAATTCCAAAATTGAAACATTTTTGCCTTTTTACTGAAAAAATTAAATATCATCATGTCAGTGAAAAACGTATGTGCAATTCTTGTCAAAATTCCTCCCCCACAGAAATGTGGGTGAGGTCTGCTATTGAATACCTACCCCAAACAGTCGCTAAATATGCAAATTCCTTTGCGTCTGATTCAATTCGCTAAATCTTCTG